TGGTGGCAGCATTGAGGACCAATGCATCGATGTGACTACAAGTCGCCAGAGTGGATGCCGTTGCGGATTCATCAGTTCTGTAATCCAATTCGGACAACGTAGGTTGTTATATAAACGGTATAAGCCAGGGTAAGAGGCGGTACCCACACATCGCACTGCACAATCTGCAAGTCTGAGGGATGCCTTTCACCGAGCTGGTCGAGTTCCGGCGTCCTGGAGCGTGAAAGCGACAGCACCTTTGCCTTGAACTTGGTCAGTAGTATCTCAGCGACGGCAAGACCGATTCCTCTTGTTCAAGCGATCTGACAGTCATTCTTTGTGTAAGTAGCCGGGAAAATGCTAACCTCGATGCCCCAGTGACGACAACGAAGGGGCGGGTGGCCATAATAGCGGCGACGACGTTCGGAAAGACTCGGAGTCGGGCGCACCTCGACTTCCTTTTGTGGATAATTCACTAGTAATCTGTCTCGCTGCTTGGCGCCAAATCGTACCATCGTCCCAATGGCCTCTCCAGCGACCTTCATCCGCCTTGCCCCCGCCATCACGAAATCTCGCGTCCCACCTACCCTACTGTCTTGTCAATCAGCTATCCAGAGGAATTCGCTCGACCGCCGGTTACAACAACGATGGGCTAGCACAGAACAAACCAGTGTGAGACTTATTACCTGTATTTGCCTGTATCTCAATGCTGTACATGTCAGATGTCGGTCCGTGATGCACTCAATATCGCCATGGAAGAAGAGATGATTCGAGATAAGTCTGTGTTCATCATGGGTGAAGAAGTCGCAAAATACAACGGTGCATACAAAGTATGTCGTGTCGGTCATGATACCGTTGATTGTAAAGCGGCACTGACTCCTAAATCACTTCTAGGTGACAAAAGGCTTGCTCGATAAATTCGGAGAAGAGCGGGTAGTCGATACACCTATCACTGAGATGGGATTCGCTGGTCTGGCTGTGGGCGCAGCACTAGCAGGTCTCCGCCCCATGTATGTGGTGTTTGAGCTAGCTGCCACAGTTAACCCACGCATCACAGATGTGAATTCATGACTTTCAATTTTGCAATGCAAGTACGTATCAAAGAGTTAGCGTTAAACATCATATCCCTTACTCCTACCATCACAGGCCATCGACCAGATTGTTAACTCGGGAGGGAAAACATATTACATGTCAGGCGGCAATGTCCCTTGTCCTGTTGTTTTCCGTGGTCCCAATGGTGCAGCCGCAGGCGTCGCTGCGCAGCATTCTCAAGATTATGCCGCATGGTACGGTCAAGTGCCAGGTCTTAAAGTCATAAGCCCGTGGAGCTCTGAGGACTGCAAAGGTCTCCTAAAAGTGAGGCGGCGATAATCCCTTCGCCTACCTGAATCTAAGACCCGACGTTTCTCCCTCACAGGCTGCCATTCGCGACCCCACACCTGTGGTATTCCTCGAGAATGAGATGATGTATGGAGTGTCATTCCCCATGTCTGCAGAAGCTATGTCGGAAGATTTCCTGCTTCCCATTGGCCAAGCAAAAGTCGAGCGGGAGGGCTCAGATGTTACCATCGTCGGACATAGCAAGATGGTCACTCATAGCATGGAAGCTGCGGATGAGCTCGCCAAAGAAGGCATCAAGGCTGAGGTCATCAACCTTCGTAGTATCCGGCCCCTTGACATTCAAACCATTATCAAATCGGTGAAGAAGACGAATCGGTAGGGTTATTTTTTTCTGAAATTGAACTGAGGTAGTCTGATCAGAGTTACCCTAGTCTTCTCATTGTTGAAGGCGGATTCCCAGCGTTCGGTGTTGGTAGCGAAATATGTGCTCAAATTGTGGAGAGCGAAGCCTTCGACTACCTGGATGCCCCTGTAGAGCGAGTCACTGGTGCTGGTGCGTTGCAATATTACCAACAGATTGTCATGATACGTCCCTAATTCAATCACTTTTAAGATGTTCCCACTCCGGTTTGTTCTGCAGTGATTTCGATCTTGCCACCAACTAATGACATTTGTAGTATGCCACCAATCTCGAGGCTCTCGCCTTCCCTGACACGCCACTTATTGTGAAAGTGGCTAAGCGCTCTTTGTACAGGACAAATTAGCAGTGCAGTAGAAGTCTGCAGAGATCATCGCGTTTATTCGGCTCTACTTAGCAAAACTCAGGGTTCTGTGACGTAGGTATAGACTTCCTCAATACCATAGAAATCGCTCACAGGTTCTGCCCTGCTTGAGTTATTTATCGAGTATTCTTAACTATGTCATGTTTAAGCGTATACGGACCGCGTTGGCGTGTGCCTGCAGTCCTTCACATTCGGCCAGCGTGACCACAATAGGCCCCAACGTTTCTAGGCCGGCTTGAGAAACTTCTTGCGAAGTGATATGTTTTTGGAAGGAGAGCGTGTTAACACCGCTGAATTGTCGGGCGAAACCGTTCGTGGGAAGCGTGTGGTTGGTCCCAGATGCATAGTCGCCGCAACTGCAGGTTGGCGTGAGACAGAGGTGGAAGAAGTGAAGTAATACATGGTCACGCACCTTTCAGGCGAAAATGCTCCTACGAAGACACTGCCCGCGTTCTGAACCAGTTTCACCGCGTCCGGAGCGTTTCGTATATGAAGTATGAGGTGCTCCGGGGCATAATCGTTCGAGAAAGCGAAAGCTTCCTCGACGCATCGCGCTTGAACAATAAGACTTTTCCCCACAGACTCTCGCACAATGTCGACCCGAGAAAGCGCATGTGCCTGATTGTCCACTTCTCGCTCGATATCCTCGAGTAAGGATTGGGGGAGGTCCACAGCTATCAACACTACTTGCGAGTCGATTCCGTGTTCAGCTTGAGATAGCAAGTCAGCCGCAACGAATGAAGGGTTTGCAGTGGAATCCGCAATGACCTATCCTCTATCGTTAGGCAGACACCACAAAAGAACCCTATTCTCTCACCAGGACTTCGGAAGGTCCAGCAGGCATATCGATAGAAACCAGGGCATCTGTATCGTTTTGAACGAGCATTTTTGCGGCCGTCACCCATTGGTTACCAGGTCCGAATATTTTGTCCACTTTCGGGACCGACTCCGTCCCATACGCCAATGCAGCTACTGCCTGTCCGCCGCCTGCCTTCAAAACGGCAGAGGCCCCCACGAGATGCGCAACATACATGATTTCAGGGGAGATGGTGCCGTCCGGGCGTGGCGGGGTCGCCAATACGATTTCGCGACAACCTGCAACTTGCGCAGGTACACCCAACATAAGAGCCGTCGAGGGCAATATAGCAGTACCCCCAGGGACGTATAAACCAACTCTTGCGATAGGCCTTGCGAACCGTGAGCATACAACGCCGGGCATTGTCTCCACGACCAGAGTCTCTCGGTCCGCTTGTGCCTCATGGAACTTTCGGATATTGGCATATGCTTTGTCGAGAGCCAGTCGGACCTCCTTGTCGATCACCATGGTCTCCGGCTCAAACGGTGGACGGACGACAGTCGAGCTGAGCTGAGCTCTGTCAAACTTGGCGGCATAATCAATGAGTGCAGCGTCGCCCCGTTTACGCACGTCATCGACGATTGGCCGCACCTTCGTGATCATTTCGTCAGACTTGAGCACAGGTCGTCGCAAGAGCTCGGCTCGTTGCTGAGGAGAGACAGAGGGCAGGTCCACCGTTCGCATGCGAATTGCTGTGGAAGTAGGTGGGGTTCTGGCACCCAGTTTCGATGTTGGGGAGGAACTGGTTGATGTCCATTGAGGTTTTGCATTCCCGGGCCTTCGAGTGACTTTGTGGGCCTTTTGTCCGAGAGAGCGTTCGATATCCGCTACACTCACGCCTTGCGCGACGCATTTTGTTAACATAAAATATAGTAAATCAGCAGCCTCGAAAGCGATTTCCGATTTAGTTTCAGCTCGACATAACTCATCTGCCTCCTCCATTATCTTCGAGCGAAGAAGGGTCGGGTCACTAAATAGTCGCTTGGTATATGATCCCTCTGGGGAAGATTCAAAACGGGCACTAATGGTACTCTCCAGGGCCGCCAGTCCAGATAGCTGACCAAAACAAGTGGCGCTGCCAAGGTGGCAGAACCCGGAGCCATGTTGGATAACGCTAAACTGCAGACTGTCCGAGTCGCAGTCGACGCTTATCCTGATGACATCCTGAGTAGAACCTGAAGTTTCACCCTTTCGCCAAAGACCGTGCTTTCGACTTTGATAGACACCCTTCCCAGTGACTATGGATTCCGCGATTGACTCTTTTGAAGAGTACACGAGACCTAATGCACGGTTACCCTTTGCTGCAGATGAGACTACGGTTGGAAACAGCCCGTCTGGGCGATCTGATACCAGAGGGGCTATGAATGCCTCTGCGATGTTGAGCTGGGTTGCGGAAGTGGCGGAAAGCGTGAGGAGAGAGGATGGAATGACCAATGCGGCATCCCTACGCCGGACTTCCCGGACCAAAGATGGCGATGGGGCCACGTCCGCGCTGGGTAATACGTAGATTTCGCCTCCAGCGAAGAAACGGCCAATTGACGAGACTAGCTCCAAGTCCACGGTGCCGGTCTTCAGAAGTACACCCGATACTCCTGATCCAATTCGGTCAGAAACAGCACTTACGCTACTTGCGTCAAGGAGCACAATGAGTCGCTCTGAAGGCAAAACACCGACAACTTCCTTCGCGAGTGACAACGGTACAACTAGTTTGTCTGCGCCATTATCCAGCCATGCGATAAGGTCTGTGATATCTGGGTGTGATGCGGCAGGGTCGACCAACAAGTAATAGTGCTCGAGAAAAGTTTGACCTGAAGGTGGTTGGCGAAGAAGAACGGTCCCAATACGTCCTGCCGCTCCAGCAAGAGAATCATTTTGTTCGTCGAGGAAGGGTAAGATAATTACGGGCATAGCAGGCTTGCCGAGGCGGGTAGTTGCTCACGGAAGAGCAACGATTTCCGTATTTGTAAATATTCCAAGTCGACTCAAAACGGAGTGTGCCGGCCCGTAAACAAGTTACTAGTAAAAAGGGTATGAGAAAAATTAGGTCTTACCCGGAATCGAACCGGGGTCACGAGAAGTTCCATATCAGAATCTCGGGGGATGACCGCTACCCCATAAGACCACTTGCAACTTGGCATCTCGTAACGTTATATATATAAGATTACTGAGTCAGGCCAAAGAAATTAGTCAACTTAGAAATATGGTAATAGGAAACCTGGAGCCACGAGGTTTCATGGGGTAGCGGTTAGCCCCCGAGATTCTGATGCTGAATTTCTCGTGACCCCGGTTCGATTCCGGGTGAGACCTTCTCAACGTTTTGCTGATTTACCGTCCGAACAAGTTAGCACTATAGCCGAGTGTTGCCATTTTGCTACGCTTCGATGGTGGTTGCCCTTTGTGGTTACCATATTGCGCCCTATACATTGGTCGTCATCTTCCACCCACATGCCGCCCCGCAAGAAAACCAATTTCACTCAAGAAAATGTAGACCACCAGTTACAACAAATCCACCTATTAGATGAGTCGTCTTCAACTGAAAACCTGGAACAGCTGGGACCCATCATCAAGCAAATTCATGCCTCTAGGCAGCAGGAGGCATTCCTGCGGACAGTACAGAGCCTTGTCCAGTCCAAAGAGGAAGAGATCGAGAAAATATGCGGCGACAACTACCAAGACTTTGTGTCCTCCGTCTCTACTCTCCTAACGGTCCGGTCATATACTGTCAACCTTCGAGACAAGATCCTCAGTCTTGACTCGAGTGTTGGCTCTGTCGGACATGGTCTAGCTGCTAAGAAGAAGGCTCTGCTGAAATCAAAGATGACAGCTGCTAACTTAGATGAAGCTATTGACACGCTTCAAGCTTGTCTGACTGTCTTGGACCTCGTGCATCGCATTGGGGAACTCATCAAGGAGACTCGTTACTGGAGTGCATTGAGGGTTCGTCTACATCATCGACAGCACTCATATAGCTGATGTAACGAAATACAGTCCCTGGAAGATATTCAATCACTCCCGCCCTCTTCGTTGTCGCAAACTCCATTCTTCACTCATTTATTATCCTCTTTGCCTTCTCTCCGAACCCAGATAAAGGATGCGGTCACAGCCTCGACCAATTCGTGGTTGCTTGAGATTCGGAATATCAGTGGTGAAGTAGGACGCCTTGCGTTGGAAGCGATGGAAACTAGAACACGAAGGTGGCGCAGCCGTCGAGAAAAGGTGCCTCTCTTAAAGCTGAGCCGGGTAGGAAGTTCAGTGGAAATGGTGACCAATGAGACGATCGAGTGTAAGCGACCTCCCTTGTTTAATATGCATTTGCATCATCCTGCGCCGCACAGATGACGTTCTAGACAACGACAAGCTTAAGGTCGATTTCAAACCGCTCTACCAATGCATACAGATATATACGGCATTAGATTCATTAGAGGAACTACAGCGGTCATACCAGGCTGACAGAAAGGTGAGCCCTTATAACACTTGCATAGTCACGACATCTTAATCTTCTCAGGCGCAATCGACTCTAATTCTACCTACCCCATTGTCCCTCTCATCACTGCCCACTCTCATCCAAGAGATCGTCGGCTTTTTTATTGTCGAGTCCCATGTTCTACGGACAACAATGGGTTTTCGGAGCGAGCGAGAAGTTGACGAATTGTGGGAGAACGTCGTTGGTCGTGTTGAAGAGGGCATGGGACAAACGCTGGCGAATGAAACGGACCCCGAGGTTTTCCTGGATGTCAAGGAGAGCTTGATAGCGTTCAGTGCCACTCTCGAAGTAACCTCATACTTATCCTATCTGCGAGAGATGATGCCGACTCCGGACACAGGGCTACTCATATTCGACCCAGCAATTACATTCTCTTCTGATGGTTTTATTCGAAAAATATGGAGCCCTGCTTGAAAAGCAGTATAACAAACGATTCGATAACGTACACACATGTTGCACATTTGTTTTCTATGCTGACTTATGTCGCGACCAGATTGTACTTCAAGATGATCAGCTTCCTATGCGGGTGGAAGGATCCAGTGACAGGGATGCAGTCATTGCATCAGTATGGCTTAGTGACACGGAAACTGCAGAAATCAAGCAGTGGGTCCTTGTATTCTTCGTGACCTACCGTCTCTAATCTTCACTCTCTTACAGAACATCACTCCCCATGAACCTTCCATGGTCGCAGACGTTCTACCTTTGCTGTCAAGATGTGAGGCGAATCGCTGCCTTCGCGTATGATTTACCTGATGCCGTCATTCAGATTCACAACTTTGTCAACAAGTATTACCAATTTGTTGAAGGTGTTGCACAATACCAGCGAGACATCGATGAGCTTCTCGGGAAGGTTTGTGAAATGTTTACTTATTCGTGCCCTTTTGACTCACATCATGTACGAAGGCCGTTGACAGATTACTCACAGCCCATATCAGCACTCGCATTGCGGAACGGCTTGCTAGCATATCCGGTTTATCTCAGATAGCTTTGGTGGTATCCAACCTCGAGCACTTCGAGATAGCCTGCGCAGAACTTGAGCGTAAAGTCACAAGTATTCGGTAAGCCTGGGACAGCCCTTGACCGACGATATTACCCACACGTGGTAGGTCATCGCACCGTGGCGGAACGCTTCACCTCTCGGCCACAGCGAGTTTCTCGAAAACGTTGACACGTGCCACGGCCCGCATCAGCGCCGTCATCTCTTCCAAACTTGACGATTTCTTTGAGCTGGCCGAATACGAGTGGACACCCAACTCCCGAGAAGACATGCCGAGCATGTATCTATACGAGTTGGTGAATTGGTTGACGACCGTGGTGGACAGTCTCGTGGTGAAAGAGGCGTACAAGAATGAAGCATACAAGGGGGCTGTCACACATGTTTCTGAATGTCTTTTGGTGAGAGGGGTAGCTTCTGAGATTTATTCTGAGCCTGATTTGCACTGCGCAGGATTTTTTGACTGGTCGCAACGTGCTCGCCATCAACGAGAATGCCATCTCAAATTTGTTGGTGGACGTTGACTTTTTAGACCAGGAACTGAAGCGTATAGGCCGACCTAATCTCTCTGAAGCGTTTGGCGAACTTAGATCGGTAAATACGTCCTCTTGCGTGGCCATGAGGCAACAGAGCTCACAAATACGCACAGTTGTGTTCAATTCCGCTGTCAGACACGGTTCAAAACTATCTGGTGCCTAGTACACGACTGGCCTCGTATTCTGGAGTCAAGCCCAAGAAATTGGCAGCCCTGCTCGACAAGATGGCTAAAGCCGGACTGAGCAGTCGTGATCCTGTTCAAAGAGAACAAGGTTCCAAGCGACAGAAGGAAGCCGAGGCTGTGGGAAGATTATTCCCTGGTGAAAATCGATGACACACATCCTTCGGATAGGTGGCTGCCTTCTGTGCTAGTCGATGCTCTAAATTAAGTATGACGCATGTCGTCTTCCCTCCGTAAGTACATACACTGATTCGTATGCATGAGAAAGAGAAAGGAAAAGAAAGGAAGTAAGAGAGAGGAGGGTGACGCGGGAGAAAGCATGTATGCGAGTGATTTTATACTCGTCTCTTGATGTTGGTACTTAACCACTCTAAACCTTCGTAGAGGCCGTCACCAGTTGTGGCACAGGCGGCCTATCACATGATGTTTATATCGTGCAAATAGTTAGCATGGGGCCAAACCTCACCTGAATGTACCATGTCCTCTGTCGGAGCCCGTGCAGACCAAGCTTATCGGTGATCTCTGCGGCGTTCATGGCATTGGGCAGATCCTGCTTGTTGGCAAAGACAAGCAAAAGTGCATCACGTAGTTCGTCTTCGTTGAGCATGCGCTGCAACTCCTCCCGGGCTTCAGAAACACGCTCGCGATCGTTGGAATCGACAACGAAGATGATGCCCTGGGTATTTTGGAAGTCTAGACGAATCTCAGGGTGGGTGCGAGGCGTTAAATAAATTGAGTGGGTACATACAATGCCTCCACAACGGACGGATCTTATCCTGGCCGCCTACATCCCAGACGGTGAAAGATATGTTCTTGTATTCAACGGTCTCCACGTTGAAACCTAGATGCCAGATCCATCAAAATCGGGCATAATCTGTGCAACAAGGTGGCACTCGCCGATGGTGGGGATGGTGGTGACGATCTCGCCCAGCTTCAACTTGTAAAGGATCGTCGTCTTACCCGCCGCATCTAACCCCACCATGAGAATTCCTGGAGAGAATATGGGTGAGTCGGGAAACGGATCTGGACAGGTATGCCACGCACGCATCTCCTTCTTCCCGAACAACCCTACATGGAGAGTAAGATATGGAGGCGGGCAGTGGCGTAAAGCACAAAAGCACACCTGAGAGCAGCTTGCTAATAGACAACCCCATGACTAGAGTGGGAGAGACGAAAAAAGGCTTTGGATGAGAACGTGTCGCAAGATTCTAAGCGCCCGGCATAGCCCAAAAACAGGCCCAATCCGTCATCAATTGCTGTATTTATGAATGTAGGGTATGGTACAGTAGTTACGTGCTATAATCGATACGATGCAGCAGCGGTGACTATTTTGTGGTGAAAAAGCCTTGGCTCGTGAGATACTCTTCATGCTCTTGCCGGTGACCTCGGACTGTGCTGTCGAGAGACCGTCGAAAGATAGGAACACCTATCTATAATCCTAAGTCAGTGAAGAGTAAGGGGTATTACTTGAGTGGGCTGACCAAGGCAATGAAGTTCAATACGAGGTCAAGGAAGACATTGTTCGACGGGGATACACCTCGGGTGGAAGCACGAAACAAATTTGTGATTAAATCTGCTGCTGACTGGTGTTGACCTTTTTGTACGCCTGCTCAAAGGATTCAGTATACGGTAGACACGGGGAGAAGGCGGGCACCTTTCAGAATGCCGGCAGCGACCTGTTCAGGTGTTAAGCCCGAATCTGCTTCTTCTATCTTGAGGGTGACTTTAGGCTTTGTCTTATTCTCCTCCTCGTATCCGGGAGTGAAGATGGTGCAGGGGAAAAAGCAGTGGACATCGATGCCGTAGAGAATAAGCTCGGAGCGCAGGGCTTCAGCAAGTCCTGGTAGAAGTGAGAGTTGGATTCCGGACAAGAGAGGTGGAACGAACCTCGGAGTGCATGTTTACCAGGGGCATAAGTGGAGTATCCAACGATGGCCATGAAACCAAGAGTTGATGATACAAAAACGACTTTGCCCTGCTTGCGGTGGCGGACCATTTTTTTTGTGGCAGCCTGAGAGGGCGGTTAGGGAAGATGGTAATTGTTGTGGGCCGGTGCTTACTAGGGCTGTCCAGGCTTGTATCCAGTATGCGTTGGACATGCCATCGAGTAG